GAAATATAATTTCTCACCTGCCATGAATGGATCTGATGTTGCCACACCTGGAGGTGACTAAACTAAATTCAGATACATGGAACCACAACTACTTGCAAGTAAAGGGCCAGGTCCTCTAATTGTCTGACAGCACTTGCTGCCCTCTATGGGGAAATGCTCTTATTTGCAGATCTTATACATGGGGTGGAAAACAGACAGTGAGAAAGAATATATAGTCTTTTCTTCTCCCATACTTCACTAAAACCAAGCATGCGAAGATGATAGGTCTCTTGCTGTAGGAATGGTTAGTATGGTTGTTGTTCCTCCTACAGCTGTCCTACATTGCATAGACATTCTCACTCTCCACTTAAATCTCTATCTAACACCTGGATGATGCTGGTATAAAAGCAGCTGCAAGAGATGCCATAAAACGGAGGGTGGATTCACTGTTCCCAAGACAGTGAGTGCATCAACAGCTCTTGAATCCGATCTCTGTACCATAGATGCCATGTCTCTCACACATAATAAAACTTTATTTATATTCCACTCTATCTCCCTGAAGGGACATAGAGCACAGCAAACTGCCTTATATGGAATCAGGATAATGATTCATTTAGCTCCCTGTTGCACACACTGCCTGGCAGTGGTTCTTTGGTGTTTCAGCCAGGAATCTCTGCCCAGCCCTTCCTGGAGATTGAATATGAGCTGCTCAGCACTGAAAACATGTGTTCTGTCCTTGAAACCTGGCCTTACTCTTAATTTATTCCAGAGATGTAGAGATGAGGCATGAGGAGAAGGAATATTCCTCCTATGTGTGGTTTTGGGACACAACAAGCTCTAGGGATAAATCATGATCCAAACTATTTGAAATCTGAAACCTGGGGTGGTCCAACTGGGCAGATGGGTTGTAGCCCAGCTAATTTGCTACAATCTGGCCAAGAAGTGGAGATATACAAACACTATTTAGCAGTGGCAGGTTGGATGCTTTGAACTTTAGTCTGAACTTTCAAGAAGTTATCCAAGGTCCTGAAGCTTTTAGGGATTAATGTCCACCACAGTGTTAGATGGTCATTACCATAATGTGCCATTGGAAAACAGATTTTGCATATGTAGCCAATGTCAGGTGGAAGACATGAAATGCTAAACTGCCCTTTGTATAGTGACCTGAAAGAAAGATATTTGATTTGGGTTCAGGATGTAGGACAACACCCTTAAAGTTCAGGATGAAACCCAAAGAGGATTCATTATGTCAATATCATGGAGGCCACCAGCCACCACTGATATTTAGACCTTGCATGGGAGGGGCTTGAAGAATAAACAAGATCTTCCTGAGTCCATTTTGACTCTTCCCTTGCCTTAGCCTGGGGTAGTACCATCAGTCCCAGAGGGCATTAACCATCATCTTAGGCAACCACGATGAAGAGAAACACACAACCAAAGAATACAACTACACACCCTCCCTCCCCAGAGCTGCCCCAAACCCCTGGTTACTACTTGATCCCTCTTCTTTGCCAAAGCCATCAAACACAACCCCATCTTTGCCAGTTTTGCAAATTCCAATCCATGTGTCTCCTGCCAGCCTTAAGTGAGCAAGATCCCTAGCAAGGGAGGGTTGATCCATGTCCTCCTGAAAATGACCTCAGTTTGTTTTGTGGGGAAGTAGATCCTGACCAACCAACCTTCCACCTCATTTCCCATTAGCTCCACCTCAGGAGTCTGGGAAGGAGGGGGAGAGAAGGAAAGAAAATGAAAGCAATGCTGAAAGATTTCAGAAATGATATGAATATCCCTCCAGTCTGGTGGGAATGGCTTTTGGCAAGTGTCTGGTCAGTGCTGCCAGTTGTTAAACCTCAAATTTTCTTGATTCTTCATAACCACACATGATAGCACCAACCTATGGAACACACTGACACACACACACACCCACACACTGGACAGAGGAGAGAGGGCAAGGACTGGCTCTTGCATCTCTGGTGTCTGGACTCCCCTGTGTCTGGCATGGAGCAGAGAAAGAGATATTCTATATATAACGGAATTGATGCAATTTTAACTGACTTGAGAATTGCATTTTAACATCTGCATTTTTGTAGGTTTTTAATGGTGTTTTTTTTAAGATTGTGAGCCATTTTGGGTCTTGATCAATGGGGCAATAATAATAATAATAATAGGGAGAGGTGGCAGGTTGAAGCCCACTGGGGTGAGGTGCCACCCTGAGGGAAAGGCAAGAAGACAAAATGAATGGACCCAGGCAGATCTTGTTAGCTCTCCAACTTCTCCCTTTGCCTGGAATATGTGTGTGTATGAGAGAGAAGAGACAGAGATAGAGAGAGAGTGGGATGATTATGATAATTTAGCAAGTTGATGCTACCTCCTCAAGGCTAAGGCAAGAGGACAATACAATACCACCAATACCAATAATATGGATGTCACAGGTTGATGCTACCTCCCAAGGCTAAGGTAAGGGTGCAATGCAATAAAAATAATACTAAGAATAATAGGAATGGCATAGGTTGATGCTACCTCCCATAGCTAAGGCAAGGGAGCAATATAATAATACCAGTAATAGGGATATAGCAAGTTGATGCTACCTCCCAAGACTAAGACGAGGGGGCAATACAATAAAACTAATACTAATAATAATAGGAGTGCCACAGGTTGATGCTGCCTCCCAAGACCAAGGCAAGGGTGAAATACAATAATACTGAGACTAATATGAATAATAGGGATGTCACAGGTTGATGCTACCTCCCATGGCCAAGATAAGGGGGCAATACAATAATAATAAAACTAATATGAATAATTCTCTGCCCCGGAGCATGGTGGAGGCTCCTTCTTTGGAAGCTTTTAAACAGAGGCTGGATGGCCATCTGTCAGGGGTGATTTGAATGCAATATTCCTGCTTCTTGGCAGGGGGTTGGACTGGATGGCCCATGAGGTCTCTTCCAACTTTTTGATTCTATGATTCTAATAGGGATGTCACAGATTGATGCTACCTCCCATAGCTAAGACAAGGGGGCAATACAGTAATACCATACCAATAACAGAGATGTAACAGGTTGATGCTACCTTCCAAGGCTAAGACAAGAAGGCAATACAATAAAGCAAATACCAATAATAATAGGGATGTCACAGGTTGATGCTACATCCCATAGCTAAAGCAAGGGGGCAACACAATAATACCAATAATAGGGATGTAGCAAGTTGATACGACCTCCCAAGGCTAAGATGAGGGGGCAATACAATAAAACTAATACTAAGAGCAACAGAGGAGTGTCACAGGTTGATGCTGCCTCTCAAGATCAAGGCAAGGGTGCAATACAATAATACTGAGACTAATATTAATAATAGAGATGTCACCGGTTGATGCTTTCTCCCACGGCTATGGCAGGGGAGCAATGCAATAAAACTAATACCAATAATAATAGGGATGTCACAGGTTGTTGCTACCTCCCAAGACCAAGGCATGGGGGCAATATAATAATACTAAGACTACTATTAATAATAAGGATGTAGCAGGTTGATGCTACCTCCTTGTGGCTAAGGCAAGGGAGCAATACAGTAATACTACTAATACAAAAAATAGGTTAATGCTACCTCCCCAAGGCTGAGCCAAGGGGGCAATACAATAATAATATTACTAATAATACTAATGTTAATAATAGGGCTGTAGCACGTTGATGCTACCTTCCAAGGCCAAGTCAAGGGGGTGAAACAATAATACTAAGATGAACGTTAATAATAGGGATGTAGCAGATTGACGGTACCTGCCAAGGCAAGGGGGCAATACAATGATACTAAGACTAATATTAATGATAGAGATGTAGCAGGTTGACAGTACCTGCCAAGGCAAGGGGGCAATACAATAATCATACTAATAATAATACTAATGTTAATAATAGGGCTGTAACAGGTTGAAGCTACCTTCCAAGGCCAAGGCAAGGGGGTGAAACAATAATACTAAGACGAACGTTAATAATAGGGATGTAGCAGATTGACGGTACTTGCCAAGGCAAGGGGGCAATACAATGATACTAAGACTAATATTAATAATAGAGATGTAGCAGGTTGACAGTACCTGCCAAGGCCAAAGCAAGGGGGCAATACAATAAAACTAATACTACTTTTTTTTGTCGTGTCAGGAGTGTCCTGTTGTGAGAGAATTGGCCGTCTGCAAGGACGTTGCCCAGGGGACGCCCAGATGATTTTGATGTTTATCATCCTTGTGGGAGGCTTCTCTCATGTCCCCGCATGAGGAGCTGGAGCTGATAGAGGGAGCTCATCCGCCTCTCCCCGGATTCGAACCTGCGACCTGTCGGTCTTCAGTCCTGCCGGCACAGGGGTTTAACCCACTGTGCCACCGGGGGCTCCACTAAATTATATGGTCAGTGTAGACTCAAAATGCAGTTTTAACTGCACTGAGCTGCATTAAGAGGGGCATTCATTAAAGATTTCCCCTGACCTTCTTCTCTCCATGGGAGGTAGCACCAACCTGTGACATTCCTGTTACTAATACTACTAATAATAGGAATGTCACAGGTTGGTGCTACCTCCCATGGAGAAGGCAAGAGGACAATACAATAACACCAATACCAATAATAATAGGGATGCCACAGATTGATGCTACCTCCTGGTGGTTAAGGCAAGAGAGCAGTACAATAATACTACTATTACTAATAATAGGTTGATGCTACCTCTCCAAGGCTGAGCCAAGGGAGCAAAACGATAATATATTAGTATTAATGGTAATATTAATAATAGGGGTGTAGCAGGTTGATGCCACCTCCAAAGGCCAAGGCAAGGAGGCAATGCAATCATACTAAGACAAATGTTAATAATAGGGATGTAGCAGGTACCTGCCAAGGCAAGGGGGCAAGACAATCATGCTAGGATGTATCTTCGGAATAGGGATGCCGCAGGTTGGTGCTACCTGCCAAGGCTCGGGGACCAAGGCAGGGAAGCCATCCCGGCCTCCTCGTTCTCTTTGGGCGGGGGGAGGGAGCGGCGGGCGGTCTGGGTCTTACCTGGAAGAAGGAGGGGAGGAGGAGGAGGACAACAAAGAGCCAGAGCCGGCCGAGGCGGCTCATCGGGAGGCCGTGCCTTCTCCCCCGTCTCCCGAGCCGGTCCGGAGAAGCCACAGGGTGGAGGAGGAGGCGGAGCAGGTGGGCTTGGAGACCCCGCCAAGGAGATGGAGACAGAGAGAGGGAGCGAGGCGAGAGGAGGAGGAAGAGGAGGAGGAAGAGGAGGAGGAGGGCTGCTCGGCAGGAGAGGAAGGGGGCGAGCCTCTCCCGCCGCTTCCCCACCGGGGCGAACAATGGCCAGCTCAGCCCCTGCTGCCTCTGGAGGGAAACCCGGCTGGCTCTCTCCTCGCTCGCCCTTCGTTCTCCTCCTTCCTTTTCGAGGGAGCAGAGCCGGGCGTCTCTTCCCTTTATGTCCCCTTTCGCCTCGGTTCAATGGCAGCCGGGGGAAGGGCGTGAAAAGGCGGAGTGGGGCGCGGAGGAGGCGGCAGAGGCTGCTTGGAAGCCTTCCTTCGAGCCTTCCCTTTCCTCCTCCTCCTCCTCCTCCTCCTCCGATGGACCACGAGACCCGGCTCCCACCTTCGCTTCGCTTCGCGCCACGAGCAGCCGCCTCTCGCCTCGCGGTGCGCCCTCCCCCTCTCGCCCCCTGGGGGGGTCCGTGTAGCCCCGCCCCTTCTTTGCTCCTCCCACCCGGGTCTCCCCCAGACCCCACCCACTCAGGCCCCGTCTGTTCGCCCCCACCCATTCACCAATTGGGTGTCCCCTCTGCTTAGCGTGTCTCTGCAATGTACAGGGTGGGCCAAAAGTCACAAAAGCTTCCCATGTTTTAATGACTTTGGGGGGGGGGGGGGGGGGGGGGGGGGGGGAGGGATGTCTTATTTCCTATATATCTATATATATAAAAATGCTCTGTGCAACAAAACGTCTCACAACACAAGGAGTGACCATCACTCAAACATTTATGATTTTGTCATTTGGGAGTTGTAGTTGCTGGGATTTATAGTTCACCTACAACCAAAGAGCATTCTGAACTCCATCAGTGATGGAATTGAACCAGGCTTGGCGGACACAGGACTCCCATGACCAACAGAAAATACTGGAAGGGTTTGGTGGGCATTGGCCTTGAGTTTGGGAGTTGTAGTTCACCTAAATACAGAGAGCACTGTGGACTCAAACAATCATGGATCTGGACCAAACTTGACACAAGCACTCAATACACCCAAATATGAACACAGATGGAGTTTGGGGGAAATAGACCTTGGGGGAGTTGTAGTCACTGGGATTCACAGTTCATTTATTTTCATTTATATACCGCTTTTCTCAGCCCTTTCGCAACTACAATCAAAGACCGTTCTGAACCCCACGGACGATAGAATCAGGGCAAACTTCCCACACTGAACCCCCATGACCAACAGAAAATACTTAATGCCATCCAGTCCAACTCTCTTTACCAGGGCAAGAAAACATAATCAAAGTCCTCCTGACAAAGAGCCATCCAGCCATAGAGATAGATAGATAGATATGATTCACACACACACACACAGATATAGTATCATAGATTTGAAAGGGACCCTTACAGAAGGACAATGATATGTTGCATGTTCCAGGGTGGGCAAACCAGACACTCTCCACATCAACATTGACAAAGAAACAGCAAGAAATACTGTTTACCCACAAGCATACAGAAATTACATCTATTAGAAACCAATACTTTCTCATTACTTTATTTTCCAGAACAACAGACTGGACCACAGCAACACGACGAACACGTGGCAGGGGACAGCTAGTACTGTATATAAGGCTATGGTATTGTAAATCAAAAACAAAATAAAGAACTTACTAATTTGAGACTTTTGACAGGCCCTGTAAGATATAATGTAGTTTGGCCCCACTTGAAGTACCATGGCTATGGAGTCCTAGGGGTTGTATTTGGTTAGGCACCAACACACTAGCAGAGAAGGGTAAAGACCAGAGTTGTGCATGGAATTCATTCCTACTGTTTCTTTTGTGTCTTCCATTTCTTCGAAAGCACAAAATGGAAAGCCCCCTCCCCACAGGAAAATCTGCTGGACACAAAAGCAGTCCGGAAGCATGCCTGCAGCTGAGCACCTCTTACTCTAGAGTGCATCCAAACTTGAGCATCCAAACTTGAGTCCTTGAATTGGAAAGAGAGTGTGTGTGTGTGTGTGGTGGGGAGGCACAGGCAGGCAGGCCAAAGCTCAGCAGCAGGCACTTTCTAGGCCTGCCTGTATGCCCCGCCACACACGCACTCTTGGAGAGTGTGGTGTGGCATGCATGGCAAGGTGAGCAGACAGGCCTGGAGTGCCTTCAGCTGGGCACCTCTTACTCTAGAGGATGCAGGCACTGGAAGGCATGTGCACTTCCCAGGCCTGCCTGCATGCCCTGTCACACACACACACACACACACTTTCCCAGGAGAGTGTGGCATGGCGTGGCGTGCAGGCAGTCCGGGAGCATGCCTGCAGCTGAGCACATCTTACTCTAGAGTGAGAGACACTCAGCTGGAGGCACTGGCAGGTAAGCATGCTTTCCAGGCCTGCCTGCATGCTCCACCACACACACACACACTCTTTCCAAGAAGAGTGCATGTGTGGCTTGTCATGCAGGCAGGCCTGGAAAGTGCACATGCCTGCCGGTGCCTGCAGCCAAGTGCCTCTTACTCTAGAGTAGAAACAACAGGTGTCAGGTAAGAACACATGCCAGAAAGGGGAGCCAGTGGGTGGGAAGCCCCCCTCCCATAATGGTCTGATTTTGGGGGGGCCAAACCCAAAGAACCAAAAACAACCCTCTTGGTTTTGGGAGGCTCACAAAATATGGATTGGGGCCCCCAAAGAAAGACAGGACACAAAATGGGGCAAGGCTTACCCACAATGCTCATGCCTAGTAAAGACCTAGTGAAACTTCAACTCCCAGGATTCTATAGCGTTGAGCCATGGCAAGTAAAGTGGTATCAAACTGCATTCATTTAACAGTATAGATGCAGGGCTTTGCTGAAAAGCTTCACTTTCAGCCTTCTCTTTACCAAGCTGAGCATGCCCAGCTTCTTCAGCCTCTCCCCATATTCTTTATTCTCCATACATCTTATCATCTTCATTGCCCTGTTTTGAACTCAATTTTTCATATATGTGTGTGATTAGACACGCCCACACATACATTTGTCATACACACAGAGGGACAGACATCAGAGTGTGGGGAAGTTATTTTTTCTACATTTATGCCTCCAGATATAAATGGGCATAACTAGATGGTATCAAGGTTTACCTTCTCTATTGTCCTTTTCTTTTGGCAATGAAAAAGTGGCAGCCCTGACACATTCAATCACATATGGACTTTGAAAGTGTTGTGTTATTGAATTACAATTCCAGGAATCCAGTAATTTTTCTAGGGTCTCTCCCACTGTATATGCACAGTAGGAGAAATAAAGATATGTTTTTCTTCTAATATGTCTTTGTGCCTCATTTCTGTTGTCATTGTTATGTTAAACAACTTATCATTGTTTGTGTGTATAGATTTCCAGTCAACTTGTAACACTTGCAAGCCGTATGTATGCTGTCATCTACTTAGATCTGCAGCACCATCTTCCTGTCTCACCAATCTTTTTATTCTTTACTCCTTATTCTTTGTCATTAATGATGTACTGTTAGAGATAATTAAGACTTGTGTTTTTCCTCATATGTTCTCTGGATGTAGCCCTTTAGAAAGAAGATAAACAAGCAGATTCATACCCAAAGAAACAATTCTGGCTGAAGTAAACAAGGTAGGTGTGTGGGGTGAAAATGGAGAATGAAATGCAAAGGATATTAAGTATTTGACAATCCAATGATATTTTAGTTAAGCATTTAAGGTTCAGAAAATTAACAAAGAGAGGGAGAACATATACTATCCAGTGCTACATATTTCTCTGAGGACCAAGAAGCTTATCCACTCAGATAGTCTTGTTTGAAGAAAGAGCTCCAGTCAAAGGAAACAGAAGGAGGAGAGTTGAAGGCCTCCAGTAGTTGAAGATTGTTGACCCCTCTTAAAACAATTTCACAACCCATAATGTATAAGAATTCCAGAAGAACTATGCTATAGAAAACTCTATCTAGACCAGCATGATGTTCCCACCATGACCAGCCAGGTCCCTAAGGAAAACTCATAACAAGTGTGAGGTGGCAATGCAAAAAGTCAATGTGGTTCTAGGCTGTAACAATAGGAGTATATTATCTAAATCTAGAGAAGTATTCTGTTTTGGTGAGACCTTTCCTGGAATATCGTGTCCAGTTCTGGGCATCACAATTCAAGAAAGATATTGACAAGCTTCAATTGTCCACAGAAGGGCAACCAAAATGATCAAATGTCTGGAAGCCAATCCAAATTAGGAAACTGGGTATGTTTAACCTGGGGAATAGAAGATTAAGATGGGGACATGTTTAAATCTTTGAAAGTATGTCATACAAGTAGCAGGCTTGTTTTCTGATGCTCCAAAGATTAGAACATGGACCAATAGATTCAGAATACAGAAATAGAGATTCAACCTACATATTAGGAAGAACTTTATGATAGTAAGTGCTATTTGACAGCATCTGAGAATGTGATTGAATCTTCTTCTCTGTGGGTTTTTAAACAGGTATTGGGTGGCCATCTGTCAGAAATACTTTGCTTGTTTTTGCATGACAGAGTTGGACTGGATGACCATTGTGGCTTCTTCCAACTCTATGATTTAAAGATATTTTCACTAAAACTATAACTCTCACAGGGTTGAGTTTTGCAAGAGCGTGTTCTTGTTCTTGTTATGCTTCTTCAAGCCATTTCTGACTCATGATGATCCTAAAACCAACCAATATAGGGTTTTCTTGGGGGGGGGGGGGTTGTGTTGCCTTCCTTTGGCACTGAGTATCACTTGCTCAAGTTCACCAGGTGGGTGTCCATACCCAAGAAGGGATGTGAACTCACATCTCCCAGAGTCATAGCCCAACACCCTAAACACTAGATCACGCAGGATCAATTTACAGAATCTAGTCTTAGGTTTAGACAACAAAATGCATTTTGGTTGGCCAATAATGATATTAGTGTTTTGTGAATTTTGCTGCATGGCCAACACAGTTAACCCAAATATATTTCTAAGCTTTATAGAAGCTGTGGGAACTGTCCAAAGTGCTGATTCCTCATCTCAAAATAGAAAATTATTCACCATTTAGGATTATCCCAAAGCAACAGAACCACTGTCTGCCCTTGCTATTGATAAATCACGGAGAGCTGAAAGCTCCTGCCAATCTAGTGCAAGTCATTCAGAAATCTACAAATCAGTGCCAAGATACCTTAACGTAACCTTTGCTCACTTATACAAGCAGCCCACCAAGATTGCTCCCACCACGCAGGCCACTGAACCCACCCTGAATCCCACTACCACCAAACACCAATTCCAATC